TCAGGAACGAGAAGATTCATTCTGCATTCTCCTTTAACTCATAATTAGATGAGAGGACACGTGTCTTCAATAACGTGGAGCAAACGGCAGGACGATTTACATTTATTTACATTTTACATAATGTACATTGCTTTAAAGCAGCTTTACATAAAAACATTGAAGTGTTAATGTCTGAAACTGATGGCAGCTGAAAATTGAATCACTGTTTTCTGTCAATAAAAAAAATAAATGCAATAAAAAAGACAAACAACAATCATTAAAAAATAAGGCTTTGGATGTGTTGGAGACTCATTTTTGATATGTTTTAGCTTACCTTAAGGGCATCCAAGATGTAGGTGTCTTTGTTTCCGCAGTAGTTTCAATTTTGATATTTTTAGGTCAAACCGTTCTTGTCTGTCAGTCCAGACTGATCTCATGAAAAAGCGTGTGTATGACACGCCAATTCGTATATCCATTTTTGGCGTGCTATCAAGACGCATAATCGTCTTTCAGCGTGCTTATGAACGCTGTTGACTTAACGTTATATAAATATATTACTTACCTCAACCCCGTCCCTAAACCTAACCGTCACTGGGATTAATGGCATTTATGACTGGAGATTTGACTGCGTGTTCAGACACGCGGAATGACGCGGACGTTAATGGCGTAGACATATACGCATACACGCGTATACACGCGGATAGCACAAAATGCGTGAAGATAACACGCCACCTGACTCGAAAGTGGCGTATATGTTTACGCAAAAGTCATGATGTCATGTTGGTCAGTCATATAATGGAGGTCTATGGTCACCACCTCAAAGAGCATGCACAGAGAAGTCCAGATTAAACATGATTTAATGATTCGTAAATGTAAGTACACATTGATGGCCTAAGACACGAAACAAGCAGTTTGTGGGAGAAAATGAACAGTATTTACATCGTTTTTACCTCTTGTAACCACAGCCACGTCCAAGTGATCTGAAGGCGCGGGCACTTCAGTCTGTGCAAGCGCCGGAAAGCGCCGGAAGTGATCTCTCGCGCGGTTGCGAAAAAAAAAATCAATGTTGCCTGTTGATATATATCGAAATCGTCTTCCAATTTCGAAAGTGAACTATCAATTTAACTCAGCATGAAGAGCATCTTATCAGGGTTCAATGAGAAAGGATTGAATGTTTCAGTTTTACTTATGGACTGTGTTACTGCAATCTTAACATAAATCATAACAGCTTTCAGCTCATTCATTTGACATCGTTTGGATTGGAATAAAAAAAAAGTTACTCATGTTGTTCCAAAACTGTAGACTTACTTTCTTCAACTGAACAAATTTGTTTTGAAGAACACAATTCTATTGAAAAACACCCGTTTTAAGTGAAGGACAGAAGTCATCACTCATTGATAATGAGCTACTGCATTTTGCACATTTTCCACATCAATGCTTCACCTCTTTGGTCTCAATTCAGGTAAAAAAAGTGAAATATGAGCAAAGCTACATTTGACATCCAGTCATTCTGGTCCTACTCGATAAACCCTTTTAAAATGTTTAGGTGAAAAGAGACAAGACGTGATGTGCAATTATCTTGTTCTGAGGCAGGATGTGCAAATTGCAGAGTAGCCTATATACTTATATTGTTTTTTACAAATAGTATGTGAAGCATTTCGCAACATACAACCGTAAACATGGTGAACCTTATGGGTTGCATGTATAATTCATGATATTAGTTAGCTATTTTCTCATTTATTTAGTTTTTTCCCGCATTTTTGTGTAAACGAGTAAAACTTTTCAGCGTTCAAAATGCAAATAGCATAAAATTCATTGTATACATGCATTTAGCAGAACTAGTAAGCAGTTTGTTAGTGTGCATACAACCAGTGGTCATGCCCTAGTTGTCCAAGTACTCTTGATTCTGTCTATACTGGGGATTATTAGTGCAGTAGCGCCCTCTACTGGAGGTGAACAGTCTGAGCTCTTCAATGAACAGGATTTGGGAAACTGTGTAAGAAAATAATGTTTTAGACTTAGTCACTGTTGTTGTTTTTTGCTGCATGAACAATTATAAAATAATTAGCAAAATACTGTTTATTAGAGTATTGCATGTCACATAACAGAGCATGACGTGTGCGTCCCAAAAGTGTCAACTATACCCTAATGCAAGAAAAAGACAGAATGCATGACAAAATAGTATGATGCAACAATGAACATTTACCCCCGGTTTCACAGACTAATGCATGTTTGAGCTGTTTTATCTGAAAGCAACTTGACCCGATATATCTTAAAATATTTTAGTGTCATTGTTTTGTCTCAAGATGCTAATGTTTTTCTAGCATGTTTATTAAATGACAAATGAACTAATCCTGGCTTAATCTAAACCCTGTTTGTGAAACCAGGCATAGTCTGAGTTAAAGGGAACATTCACTTTAAAATGAATTTTTGATATGTTTTAGCTTACCTCAAGGGCATCCAAGATGTAGGTGTCTTTGTTTCCGCAGTATTTTCAATTTTGATATTTTTAGGTCAAACCGTTCTTGTCTGTCAGTCATATAATGGAGGTCTATGGTCACCACCTCAAAGAGCATGCACAGAGAAGTCCAGATTAAACATGATTTAATGACTCATAAATGTAAGTACACATTGATGGCCTAAGACATGAAACGAGCGGTTTGTGTGAGAAAACGAACAGTATTTATATCGTTTTTACCTCGCGTAATGGTAAGGATGCCCTTGAGGTAAGCTATAAAACAAACCAAAAATTTATTTCAAAGTGAACTATCCCTTTAAATTTACAGAGAACGGACACGTACCAGTTGGAAGGGTCTCTATACAGCCACAGGAGGGCTCTGGAGAGAAGGGTTCCTAAGAGACCAGGGAGCTGATGGCAGGAATGGGAGAACATGAGGAGGATCCCTTGGCTGAAGCATGAGGCCAGCTGTGAGTTACAGGAGTTAACACTGCAGTCAGAGCACCGATTATCACCCTAATAAAACTTCCCTCGCTGTTTGTACAAATAAAACTTCCCTGACTGGGAAGGCATAAAACTTCACCGAGCGGCTCCCTCGGACAGAAGATGGGCACCGCTATCCCAGACATCCTAATGGTTTCCTCTTTCTTTGAATGTGTGTGTGTGTGTTTGTGGACCGGACTACAAAAGCATTGAAACTCACTATAAAGTTCAGTTTAGGAGGTATAAGCTGAACTGCAGAAAGGGTATGATACTGAATTGAATATCAACAGCTCATAAGGGGACACTTGAGGGAGAAACAGAGAGAGGGACGGAAGTTGAGTAGGAGAAAGCAAGTGAACTATGTGTTCATTAAACAAACGGAGTGTGATGCCAGAGAAAAGGGTCAACAAAGAGAAGGAACAAGGAGAAAAAAGCCTCTTCCGACAGAGCCAAAAGCAGCCCTGACCCCGACTTACATCACCTCTGCTTCCTTTTGCACCTCATTCTGTCCTTTCCCATCCATCCTTTCTTCTCTTGTTTATTCTACATCCTCTCATTTGCATCTTACATCCCTGACTGGGTGATTCAGGTTGATTGGGACACTTTTTCTCAACATCTCAATGGCAAAATGTGTTTCAATCAACTAGAGAACACCTTCGTTTGGCCCTTTTTTAGCCTTCTATTAGTTTTTTTTATGTATTTATGTTAATTAGGGTAGATTTCATACTTAAAATGAGGTCTTGATTTTGTTGATTCTCGAAATAAATATCGAAACTTACCCAACCTCAGGTTCTTTCTGGCCCAAGAAAATCGCGCGCTTTGGCAGATGGGCGGGAACTCGAGATTGATGCGCGTGTGAAAAAGAGTCCGCCAACTGTCTCGTGCCGTCGCGTGATGAATGTGTCTGCGGTAAATTTAACTTCCGCCACAACAAGCTTCATCACGTTGTCCAGCCTTCAGAAATAACCTTTAGATTGTAAATAATTAAATTTTAATTAGTTGGAATGACAGCCACTTGTTATTGTTTAGCCTAGTTTTTAGATGGTGACGCCAACAACAAGTAGCCTTTCAACCGCTACAGCTTTTAATCTGTGATGGATAACGCGTGTTTAGAAAAAAGTTTGTTTTAAAATAAAAATTAAAATACACAGTATTACATTGTCTGCTGCCTCAACTTCAAATCAAGCGCGACGCCATTTTTAGGCTACGTTTTTGTGAATACATTCTGTTGACGCGACTTTTAAAATAGAATTCCCCCATAACAAACAAATAAAAAATATGCGACATGAATTAGCTCGATCTTTAAAAAATAATTTATCTCTTTTCCTGCCACACTTTTGGTTGTGTATGAAAATGACCTTACAACTAAGTTAAAGTTAACCCATTGGCCCTTGTACCATTCAACGTCTATTATTTAGCCTATAGACAAGTTTCAATTAGAAAAAAAAATGAATAAAATGAATAAATAAAAAAAATGAATAAATAAATATCTAGACCCTAGTATTTTTTTTTTAAAAAAGGTTTAAAAATAATCTCCACATTATGCTTAAATTAAATAATCAAGGCTACAATTTTAATAGGCCTATTTTTTTGTTTGCTTTTTTTTCCTTTTAGATGTTGGAGTAATAAATAGTGTTAGCCTACGTAAAACAAATAGTAGCTACCTAATAATTAGTCATTCTTTTTCTCTGCCCCTTTCAGCGCCTCTTTTCAAAGGTTTGCACCTGTTTTGCGCACTTATTCATGCGGACTTGGATCCACTTCAAAGTCATGTCACTTTAAAAGTCGCAAATTCCGCTTGAATAAAGAAATAAAGGGGCAAAAAATCGCCACAGAACAAATCCAACATCCGAGGTCGCATGTATGAATAATCAACGTGCCGTCCGAACAATAGAAACATACAGTTTGTTCATTTCGACATATTTAAATCAAGCAGAAAAGTTGACAAAGGCTTGAACAGCGGAGGAGCTCAACAAGGGCTCTATTTACAGGCGGAGGAGGAGGAGCGGAGGGCCACTGAATTAATGAATTAAATAGTGCTGAGGCGCTGAAAGTACGTGTTTTCATCAACAATGAAAGGCAGGACTGAGACGAGAGGCGAAAGTTTTCAGATAGAGCTGCAAACAAAACTTATTGAGCAGTTGCACTCAAGACAAGATAATAGATAGATAGAGAGCGAGGAGGATTGAGAGAGAGAGGGAGAGAGAGAGGAGGGCATTACATAATAAATCGGTAGCTAACATTCGACCGGGACGAGCACCGACTGACACTTAACTTATTACTAGGGTCGAACCTATATATAGGCTATATATTTTTTAAGCTTAGGATTGCATGACAGTTTAGGTAGGCCTAGTGCATTAAAAAAATAGTGTTAATAGTTTCAAATGTGTTTATTGAATATTAGCATGTAGAATTATGAGACCTCCGCAGCTTGTCACTCTCCTGGCGCGGATGATGATGATGATGATGATGTTGACAAAGTTGTCAGGCACGCGCTTCTCTTCATCCTGATCGCCTTCTCAACTTTCGCCTCAACTTCTCATCTGATGTGTCCTGAAATTGGAAAACAGGAGTAAACTGTTGCAAATCACAACTGCGTTCAAGTCCTCAGTGAAAGGTAAGTGCTGAAGTAAACCTCGTGAGGCCTAGCGGTTGTGTGCTGAGATTGTGTTCATCTTTATGAAGCCATAAAGATGCCGTTTATTTGAAATATGTGCAGTTTTGAATCCAACTACATTTCTCATCCTCAAATAAGTCGAGATTGAAGAAGATCATTGTAACGTTAACATATATGAGAAACAGGTGCATCTCAACAAGATAGGCTACATTATGATCGTTCTCGTAGAAACCTATAGGCCTATCATTGATAATAAAAATGTACAGATAATATAATGTTTTGATCTTGAGTTGTTGAACCTGCTGACTGGTTTAGAGGTTTAATTAGTCATTTAATTATCTAAAATTAGGCATTTTCTCTTTATATTATTCAATATTAGATTACTTTAGTTTTGTAGTCATATTTTAATACATAATATGTTTACCATAAAAAGCAATGAGTTTCCTTATAAAAAAATGGACTGTGAAATTGAAATTTGCAAATGCTTTTTTCGCCTGCATTGGTTTTGTCGAATGCATTTGTCTAAAATAAAACACTTTATTATATATGTTATTTGTTATATATATTTTATATATAACAACATGCATTTACATAGGGTTTGGGTAGAATTGGGGTTTAGTTGAGGGTTAATTATGCAACATGTATTGTTACTGGTTAAAACAAAATGTTACCAAATAACGTGCAACCTGTTTTTTTTTTTAAGTAGATGTATTTATGACTAGATCTTTCAGTGTTTAAAGCTTTTAATTTCAATTTACAGTCACAGTTCGCTTCTGTTTCGTGAGCTGTAGAGAAATAAACATTTACTGATGCAGAGATATAAAAGAGGAGGCATATCTGCCACTATCAAACCGTTTCATAGGCTCTGACTGAAGCACAACGTTGCGTGGGTCTTTTCTCTCTTTTTTTTGTTGCTTTCGACTGATCTGATACGCTCCCCATGGCTCTTTCTGGCAAACATCACGACTGCCAAAGTTTTTGGATTTCCTCTTTGGACCAATTCCCCCTTCATGGTTATTTTGGAGATTTAAACCAAGCTATTAATGAAATAAATAGACCAGACCGCGTGCATATATAGAGATATGAGCAATGGATTTGTTGGTCAAGTGTCTCGAGTGATTTCCAGAACACTTTGCACTGGATCAAAGACGTCGAGCTCATTTTAGCTGTGACTGAGAGAGGTGGACTGGATCTGGGGAATAGAGGAAAGTAAAAGTTTGCACAGAATACTGATGAGAGACTTTAATATCGGTCTGTTTTTCGGTCTGTCGATGTCATTCCTTCCTTCCTTTCCCTCTCTTTCTCTCTCTCTCACACACACACACACACACACACGCAGCAGTGTTATATTTTTCAATGGTGGCTTTTGTCTCTTTCATCTCATCTCCGAACAAAAGGATACTTGTGTATACAGGACAGGGAGTGAGAAAGAAAGAGATTGAGGGAAGAGAGGAAGAGTGTCAAAAAAAGTCAAAGACTGTTTGTAAACTGCACGGCTAAACTATATGTGTGTTTTTTGAGTCTCTCTGTGAGGTCACGTCAGTGTGTGTTTGAGTCTGGACATGCCTCCTTAATCTTAAGGACTGTTTTGCACATTGTAGGACATCAATAAAGCCTTAAAATAGCAAATTGAAATATGTAAACGCTGAGAGAATTCTGCATGTATTCTGGACACTGAAATATTCGCGCGTGGGCTAAATGTACAAGCATTTATTTATGCCTTTAGATCAAAAGGTCTTTGAGAGCATGAGAAACACACATTCAGTGTCTGCTCTATGTACTGTACTTGTGTGCGCGCGCGTGTGGGCGCGTACTCGCCGGAGTTCAAAGGTCAGCTGTGTGTACACTCCGCTCATAACACGTGTCCCGGTCTCGGCCGGCGTTAGTATTCAGAGCACAGAGAGCCAGACAGATACCTATTCATTCCCTCAGTGTGAGTCCAGAGAGAGAGAGAGAGAGGTCAGAGTGGGGAGAGCGTATCAGATCGCCCTGGTACTCATTCATTTCATTTATTTATTTTATTTGGTGCGGAAGGCAGAAGCTGAGTGAGACTAAACTACCACTTAGACATTTAAACGAGAGAGGGAGATCGAGGAGAGATTGAATGGAAAGTAAGTCCTTGTGTAACCTCACTAAGAGATCGCCGCGGTCCGTGAGGTTGCTCTCTCGTATCTCAGGAGACTCGATGGAGTTTTTACTTATGCTTTTGTTTTAATGTTAACTTTGTATTTGTAGTTTGTCCGTAAATGCACAGATGATGCACATGAACTAATTGTTTGACATCCAATAAGTGTTTAAAGTAGGGCTGTCAAACGATTAATCGCGATTAATCGGATCCAAAATAAAAGTTTGTGTTTACTTAATATATGTGGGTGCACTGTGTATAATTATTTTTTATATATAATACACACACATGCTTGTATATATTTAAGAAATATTTTCATGTATATACTGTATATAGAATTTTATATAATTTATATTATATATAAATATAAATATTTTATATATAAATAATATTTTTTTTCCCTAAATATACATGCATGTGTGTGTATTTATATATATACAAAATAATTATACACAGTGCACCCATATATTAAGTAAACACAAACTTTTATTTTGGATTAGCCTTACTTTAAAGACATAAAATTAAGGCAGCGGTTCTATTATGAAAATAGCAATAGATTGTATTTACACTAAAATTGTATTTATTTATGGAAAAAAGGCAGTATTTTCTTTGCATTAAGTGTAGATAGATGCTATTTATACTTATAAATAGTGGCAGACCTCAGTATTGTTGCACATTAAACGGTACGGAAAACTAACATAGTGTAAATTATTATATTTATTAAAATGAATTTATTATTAATTTTGTGCAGCCTTATTGGGACAATAAAGCCCTCCTTAGACCTAACCCTAACCCCAACTGATAAACACTGTATTTTTAAACCCATGTTAGACACACTTTATTTCACCTTTTGGATATTTTCTTTGTTTTTATTGAAAATAAATGCCTTTCTGATTGGATATGTGTTGAGAAAAGGGTGTAAACGAGTTGAGCAAAAGGCGAATTCAAACCTGAGTTGAAGTTTCTGTTTGTGGCCCAATCAGATGTCAGTGGGCGGAGTCAGTGTAAACAGCCTCGCCCAACAAAATAGTGTAAATACACACTCCGTAAAGCTGCTCAGATCATTGATCCTGTTAGAATGTAATGAGCCAAATAAATGTATAGTGCTTTTACAAGATGCATTGTTTCAAAGCAGCTTTACAGAAAAAAACATGGCATTAATGTTTAAGATGCCTAAGGGTTTCACACCTTACAGTCACATTTAGCGCTTTACCGCTGGGTGAATTTTCTTTGCAACGAAACAAGTCAAGTTGAGATTTGCTATGTTGCTTTGAGGGTGAAGTAACATGCGTGCAGGTAAAGTCAAACATACTTTATATAAGACGCTGATATGATGTGGATGTATGAAGTCACTTCTCCACAAGTTTACACTGTTGTAAAAATTAATATCAATAAATAATTTTCGAATAAAAACGCTTCAAAATGAAAGATGGCGCATTGTGGCCTTTTATACGCACTAAAGATTAAATATTTTACTTCTTTAAAAATTGTATGATCGGTAAGTTATGTCAACATGTGTTTTTTACATTGCTTTAACTCATCAAAACAAGTTAAGCAATTTACACAGTTTTACAAGATTCAACTTTTTAAAGTCAGTTAAAAGTCATTTAAGTTGAAATTACTTAAACATCCAAGTTGATTCTACGTAAACTTTTAAGGCAGAAACTATTTTTTTTGCAGTGTTTGTCATGTAACGACCATTAATTGACTTGAGAATTAGAGTACCATGGACATGCAAATGTGTTATATTATTTAAATATTTATCTAAAATATCATGTATTTAAAGAAGTCAAAGAGGGAATAAAGCACTGTTTTAAAGAGACAGTTCACTCGTCATCATTTGCTCACCATCAAGTTGTTTCAAACCTGTAAGAGCTTTTGAACACATAAAAGAAGATATTTTAAATAATAATGTTTATAACCATACAGTTGTGGGAAAGCGTAGAATAATATTACTGTAATAAAAAACATGGAAGTCAATGGGGTCCAAAACTGTTTGATTATAAACATTCTTCAGGATTTCTTCCTTTGTGTTCAGCCGAAGAAAGAAACTCATACATGTTTGGAGAACTTGAGAGTGAGGAAACCATTTTTACCTGAACTGTGTCCAAAATACGTTTGAGGCCACCATAGATTTATTAGAGAAAAGCACAAGTTTGTGATGGAGCTTGAAAAATGTCTCCTATGATTTTGGTTCTTGACTAGTGTATGTTTGTGTTGTGAAGCTTTATTGATGATTAACAACATCCAGATAGACAATGTGTGGCTCACACACACACACACCTGGAGCTAAAGCCGTAGAGGAGTGGAAAAACTGTCCAAGAAGCGTCTACCTTGAAAAAAGCGATTGGGAAACGTCATCCTCAGAGGAATGCCGAGAATATTGCGGGGTTCCTTTCATGATTTCTTCCTGCGGTTTTGTGTTTTTTGATGGTGAATACGTTTTTTTTTCAAGCGAGCATGGCATGCGAGTGGGTCGGCGTTGACGACTAGCCTTTAAATGAGAAAGGGCAGCTGCTTCCACTGTGTGAATGAGGGGCATTTAATGTGCGCGGGCAGCTGGAGGGTCTGAATGTGGAGTTAAGAAAGAGTGACGGACCACCACTGTCGGTTGGCCCCCCGAACCCGGCGCTGTACCCCTTCCTGGCACACATTATCCTCGGGAGAGAAGGATGCGCTCACGTGTCCGTGATAAAGATCGCTGAGAAAGCTGCTTTGAGAGAAGATGTTTTTTAGATACTCGCTAATGTGTCCCTAATGTGTCTCCCTTTACTTGGACGATGCACGTCTTTCAGGTGGAGCTCAGGTAGAGATAGAGCCTGTCTTCCCATGTGAGGTTTCTCCTATAATGCTACGAGGCGACCTAGTTTTTACCCGAGGCGATAAGGTGACCGGTTTCTCACAGCGAGGATGACTGTTGGATCCGTTAATTCGTTAAAAAGAACAACTTTTTATGTCAGAGTAACTTGATACTGGTAGTTTTAGTAACTTGTATGAGTCCCATCTGATAACGCCCAATGCTACTCAGATAAGTGAGAGAAATTAGTGGAATTATTCGAAAAGTATAAATGACAATATGAAACTGAAAGATCATAACCTGAACACTCAAATAAAGAGATGCCTGCAAACTTACAACATGAACTATTTTTTTATTATTATTATTTTTATCAGAACAAGGTACATTTACAGTATTCAGTGACATAATGAATGTCCCCCCCCCCCAGAGAAAAAATAAATAACTAAATAATACTAAATGAAATAAAATAAAAATAATAATAATAATAATAATTCAAAAACCCACCTATAAACACATTTAAATAAGTAAATAAATAAATAAATAAAGGAAGGGGGTTACATGAACTATTTTAATGAGATATTCTTGCATTAAAGGAAATGTATTGCAAAAAAGAAAATCATTGGCACACACATTACATTCTAAGACGATTAAGATAAACATGCTTAATTGTCTTGAAAGTAATGCCACAATGAAATTGTATTTTTTTAAATGTCTTTTGTATGAAAACCTGCCATGTCGACCGTCATTTTACACTTTATTAGTGAGTAAAAAGGTACATGTTTGTAATGAAGGCAGGAGTTATTGTGCTGTGAAGTGTCTGTGAACTTTAATATAGTTTGCTTCACAGAGAGATTGTAAAATGTAAAACTCATGCCGCTGAACTGGAACTGTGAAAGAGTCGCTTTTATGAGGCACATTATTAACTGTTGACCATTGTCTGCTCATCGCAGTGTTTGTCACAGAAAAAAACATGTCACTTGCATAATTGAAAATTAACCTAAATTCGTTTTCACGTCACAACCAGTGTGCTTGAGGCTTTAGCAATCTTTATCTGGAGTTTTAGATGAACAACTTCACCATCAATCAACATCAGCTATATATCTTAAAGGAGTTAAAGTCCCCTGTAGTCAATCGTTTTATCAATTAAAACTCATCTTTGATCAGCAAATAAAAATAATAATCTTGAAAAAAAAATCTTAAAGAGTAACTAAACACTAAACCAACTTTTTTTAGTTAATGATCTGTAAGAATGGATCTTTATTAATACCAGTCATTGATTCGAGTAACTTTTTTGACATTTGTTTATAAAGTGTTCTATTTCTACAAAATATGGTGTAAAAATGTCTTAGTGCTGCCCTCTTCAGGTTGAACGGCGGCTACTGCAGTTGAATTTTCCTATTGTATGTTCCGCACTTCGTGACGTACCCAGGTTTCAGCTCATCACCCTTGGCAGTATAAAAACTATCTTGTGTCGTCAAAACCACTGTAGGGAGTCAGGAATTGGAATTGTGAGTATTGAAAACGACCAGGATAGAGTGTTTTAGCATCTATTTTAGGGCTGCACGATTATAACAAAAATCATAATTGTCGATTATTGCCTTGAAATTATAATTGCGATTATCAATATCACAATTTACATTGAATGATGTTTTGAACAGCTTTATGCCATTGTTCGAAGTGACAGCATGCAAATTGTTATATCAAAATAAAACGGCTGAAAACTCGTGAAAAATTTTCAATGCTTTTCTATGGTTTAAAGTAACACCAAGTAACTTTTCCTCTTCGGTCACCCCACTGGTTGGAAACGAAATTGTCCATTGCCGCTGTCGTAAATAATTTAGCCTGCCGTCACACGCACGCTCGCTGTTTATCCAGCACCGGCTTTAGAATGAACAATATTCACAGACAAGTTAGGTAAGTTACATGATTTCATGAAAGGATGATGTATTGCGACATCAGAAACGAAGAAAAACAAAATAATGACTATTGTAGTGCTTGATGTAAAGCAGTCGAATTTTGTAGTTCTTTTTGTGGTCGGGTTCCTACCCGAACCCCGAAGTTACATAGTGCCAGTAAAAGTGATACAGACCCCGTCAGGCCGTCTTGCCGTTCACCCTGTTACGACTTGATGAACCACTGATAAGATTTTGGAAACATTATTTTAAGTAAACAATGTTAGATAGTGTTGCTTTAATGCTAATTATAATAATAATGTTACACTAACTAAAACTAAAACAATGGGGAAAAAACCCTTAAGATAAGCTGTAGAAAAAAACATTTTAAGTACACAGAATAATGTAAGTGGACTTTTTATAATTGTGCCTTTGAACGATTACATAATTGTGGCATCCATAATTGTAATCGCGATTACAAATTCGATTAATTGTGCAGCCCTAATCTATTTCGTCCCCTCTATCTCCGCTGGGGTCAGCCCACTTTTTCAGCATTTTCAAATATTGCCAGTGGGTGGAGTCAGGCTCTGACCAGGGGTTTAGTTAACATTTAAAATAGAATGTTGAATGTAACCCGACACCCTTGCCTAATTTACTATGCGGTTCTATGAATATGCAAATGAGCTCCGCCTCCACTCACTCACTTACTCAGAGAACCACTGGTTGACAATCACACGTTGATCTGATTGGTTAGTAGGTAGTGTGTGACGTCAGAAACACCAGCGATTTCAAACCGTGTGTTTGAGACTGTTTTTGGTTCACTGCTAGCCTGGTTAAAACCGGACCATTCACAGTTGTAACTGAGTTATGGTCTGGCAAAGCGTCATAGACTAATCATTTCCAGAGGGGCGTCACCAACGGACGTCGCGGGTAGACCTAAAAACCAATCAGAGCGATGGTGGAGATGACGTATGCAGAGAGGCGGAGACACATCTGTGAGTGTTGTTCTTTGCTCGGTTTTTAACAAAAAGGAAACGTTCAAATCGCGTAAAACAGACGCGATGGCTGATTCGAACAAGTGATGTTTGACGGCGGCATCCATCTTTGTAATGTAGGCTACAAAATCTGCACAAACCAACATTGGATAATAAAATATGTACTTTGGAAGTCAGACTAAAAAATACAATCAAAGATAGCCACAAAAATAAAATAGGGTTAGTACAAATTAAAATACATTTTCAAAAAGATATAATATCTAATCAAGCATTTTGTTCCTCCTCCATTACATTGTTCATATCCCCGTGCTCAATAAATAATAAAAAGGGACTCCAAATCTTCTTAAATTGGTTCCGAGTGTTGTTCTTTGCTCGGTTTTTAACGTTCAAATCGCTTAAAACAGACACGGTAGCTGATTCGAACGAGTGATTTTCTACGGCGGCGTCCATCTTTGTAATGTTGGCTACAAAATCTGCTTCAAAATCCCAGTGCTGTCGTCATCGTGTAAAGCCCGCCCCAACATTTCTGATTGGTGCCATGATTTCGACAGATTGGAAATGGGCTTGAATGAGCTCTTTGCCAGACTAACTTTCAAAGCAAATCTAAATTTGCTGGAAGTTGTCTGGGTTTTCCTAGGCTAGTTCACTGCAGATTTAAAGAAAAAATACTCAGCAATGCTGTCGACGTATGAATTTACACAAGGTTTGTCTTAAAGCATATTAAAAACACCACATAGACACATAAACAACATTAAAAGCTGGATTTACACCACAGGGGGATTTTACTAGCAAAAGCAGAGTAAAAGCAGAATTTTATACTCAGAGTTATAAATAAACTATTTTTCATAATCAGTGAACATGCACGTCTCTCTCCCCCCAGCTATGACCTCAGCCACGCCCCCTTCCTCCCGAAGCCCCTCCCCTCAGAAGGTGTGTCACTCACAGACTCAGACAGACGTCCTAAAGCCACTCCTGGGCGGAGGAGGCGGGGCTTCGCCAGGAAACGGGCCTGCGGCGTTGAGGCGTCGTCGACGGGTGCTATCTAAAGATGGGCGGAGCAACGTTCGCATCGAACACGTCAGCGGCCGAGGGGCGCTTTACCTGCGTGACCTCTGGACGACCTTTCTGGACATGCAGTGGCGCTACAAGCTTTTCCTGTTCTCCGCCACCTTCGCCGGCACCTGGTTTGTCTTCGGAGTGCTGTGGTACTTAGTGGCGCTTGTGCATGGAGATTTACTAGGTGAGGATGCTCTTCAAGAGTGCCTTAAAGGGATACTCCACTTTTTTTTTGGAAATAGGCTCATTTTACAACTCCCCCAGAGTAAACAGTTGAGTTTTACCGTTTTCAGATGTATTCAGCCGATTGTTTTGATATTTAGAAGAATATCAGTAAACAGATAGATTCTGGTCTCATTGACTTTCATAGTATATTTTTTTCCTACTATGGAAGTCAATGAGACCAGAAACGGTCTGGTTACTGATATTCTTCTGAATATCAGAACAATCGGCTGAATGGATTCGAAAACAGTAAAACTCAACTGGGAAGTTGTAAATTGAGCCTATTTCCAAAAAAAAAAAAAAAGTGGAGTATCCCTTTAAATCACACCTTACGTACATACATATTAACATGATATTGTATCGTTGCTATTTCTGGGTCTCGTCCTTCCTCACCAGAGTTTGACCCTCCATCCAATCACACGCCGTGTGTGATGCAGGTCCAAACTCTGACGGGAGCGTTTCTTTTCTCCCTGGAGTCGCAAACTACGATTGGTTACGGCTTTCGCTGCATCACTGAGGAATGTCCGCTCGCCATCATCCTGCTTATTGTCCAGCTGGTCATCACCATGGTGATGGAGATCTTCATCACTGGGACCTTCCTTGCTAAGGTACCGCTCTCGAAATCTGGGTAAACACACAGTGTTTAGTTGTCATTGTGATGTGTTTTCATTCAAATGTACATGCGCTTTATTTGTACATGCGCATCCGTCTTTTGCAGCATCTTGTGCATGACAAAGCGCAATAAAAACCAGGAATTAGATTTTTCTGCATTTTTTCCGATTTTCTGACCTTATAAGTATGGCAGATGTATGGCAGTCAATCAGATAAAACATTGTTTCAGGGGGCTGTTGGGGGGTGGCTAGTTACTGTATGATGATTGAAATCATGAAATCGACTCAATTATTAAATAAACTGCAAAATGTCACGTTTTTGCCCGGTAAGTTTTTTTTATGAAATTTGACAATGCATGCTTGTGAGAATGTGATATGGCTTAGTGAGATCATCAAATCGCAATGGTTATGATGTAATGATATAAATATATAGTCTGACGTGCCGCATGTTTCGCAGTAAAGCACAGCACTGTGTTCATTTGCAGATTCACTGCTTCTCTGTGTGTTTGAGGCACCTGTGATTTGCATTTTGAACAAAATGTGTGCCAACTATCTTCCCAAATTTGTAATGAGAATGGTTTATCAACAAAGTGAAGCGTAAGATCTCCCTGCGGTTTCCCGCCAAAATAAAAGCTCAATGGTTTAACGTTTGAAAGGGAAGAATGAACTGTAAATGTTAGTATTGTAATTTTACTGTTGTTCTGTAAAATAAAATACAATAAAATCTTTGTTTTTAGGTTTTTCTTCTTTTTTTTGTCTTTGGCTCATCACATGCTTGAAAATATGGTGCTCAAGTTAAACGTTGGTCAACTTTTAAGAAAACGCGTCTCTAGACCCTGCACCACCAGTATATAGCTTTATTAATCAGCTAAAGACAAAAAAGAAGAAAAACCCAATCAATAATAATCATAATAATAGTAATAATAATAACAATAATTATTATTTTTAATATAATTATTGTTTTTATTTTATTTTACAGAATTGTAAAATTACTATACCTTTACGAGGCCTGGAACTGGAAAAAAATCGAGTTGCGAATTTTCTTATAAAAAGTTTGATTTAAAAAAAAAAAGCTTTAGGTTTGCGATGCTTGTTTGTAGGGCTGCACAAATTTGTTAAAATATTTTGTGATTTATATATCAATATGATCATAATAATAATTTGATTGAAGTATTTAAATATATAGAAATTTTAAGAAAATATAATAGTAATAATAATATTTTTTAAAATTACAAAATGTGTACTTAAAAAAAACACTGCATTTATGTGTTTAATTTAATTGCAGCCTTTGCAATTTGATAATTGCACTTAGCCAAATTATCATTTCAGGACTAGATCTGGAACAATATCTGATTTAAATTTTACATTTATTCTGTGATATATAGGTAGCCCGGCCAAAAAAACGTGGCGAGACGGTGAAGTTCAGTCAGCATGCTGTGGTGGCCAATCACGAGGGCCGACCGTGCCTCATGATCCGAGTCGCTAACATGCGCAAGAGTCTCCTTCTGGGCTGCCAGGTAAACACATTTCTGTCACTCTCAATCAGAGTCAATCTCTGTCAGATCCTGATGAAATAACATAACATATACATGCAGCTCATCATATCTCTGATTTCTCAGGTGACAGGTAAGCTCCTGCAGACGTCGGTGACAAAAGAGGGTGAGACGGTACGTCTGGACCAGAGGAATGTAGCCTTTCAAGTGGACACGTCCAGCGACAGTCCTTTCCTCATTCTGCCCCTCACTTTCTACCACGTAATAGATGACAACAGCCCGATGCGGGCCTGGGCTGCCAAAGGTATTACATCAATAAAATCTAACGATGTAGTGCTGGGCGGTATACCAGTTCATGCCGAATACTGGTGTTTATTTTTGTCATGATATGAATTTTTAATAAACCGCAATACCGGTGTATGTCCCTTAAACAATGTTGCGTGACACTGTTTGCGAGGGTCTTTTCACTGTTGCACTGTGGCGATACCAGGGCTCTCAAGTTTTGAAGACAGGCAAGAGTGACGTGAACAATTCCAGGATATGCTTTTTTTCAGTGGTTGTTGCGTTAAATCTTACCCAGATACAATAGTGCTGTTTTCTGATTGGATATTGTGTAGCCCCTTTCTTTTTTTTGATTGGCTGATGCAGGCTCGACTAAGAACGCCAGGAGAGATGCGCTTGATTCCTGCCGGGTCCGTAGTGAGAACGGACATTTTTGGCGCTGCGCCATATTAAATATATTATGAATTGTTTTTCCGCATGAGAAATTACAATGTGTGGCGGGAGTGCGTGAAAAAAGACCAAAATGAGTGACTGTCACGCTCAATGTGTGAACCTTGACAGAGTGTGTTACTAAGCGGTGAAGATGGATAGGTTAAACTATAATTGATTGCAGTTTAAAAGGCTTTGGCATCGTTAAATAAACACGAGCACTGCACGTTTCAAAGTCAGAACGTGGCTATGTATTTTTTTTTTTTTATATGAATGTATCTTTGAAGCAAAATGACTGTCTTTAGAAAAGTTTCAATGTTATTTTAATTTAATCTTTCTTTATCTTTCCTGATGAGATTTAATTTTGAAAAATGCCGTCAAATAAAATTTTTATTTTTATAAAATTGTCATATCGCCCAGCACTATTATGATGTTGGAATTCCAAGTCTAGGACCGTCCCATCCGAAAACATGTTCCTTACTTATTAATTGAAGTTGAGCTGGTATCGTCAGCTCAACTAGGTCGTGGGTCAAGCATCTGCCAACTGTGTAAGTGTAAAGGCCCGTTCACACCAAGCACGATAACTATAAAGATATAATTCTCAAAATCGTTCTCCATATTAAAGGGTTAGTTCACCCAAAAATGAACTTCCTTGTAGATTTCCATGACGCATGCGCGAGAATTGCGATCTGAAGTAGTGTAAGCTGGTGTGAGCAGATCGCAAATCTCACGCATGCGTCGTGGAAATCTATAAGGAAGTCTCGTTCTGGCCTACAAGGAAGAAAAGAAATAGTCGAATAAACTCGTTATTTTTGTTTGTTTTTTCGCACAAAAAGTATTCGCGTCGCTTGATAAACATATAGTTGAGCCACGGTAGTCACTTGGGATATTTAAACATTTTCTTCATTGACTTTTTGGGCCGTCAAGAGGCAGTCCCTTAGGAGCCAATGTGGTAGTTATACAGCTCTCAAATTTAATCAAAAATATCTTCATTTGTGTTCCGAAGACGAACGAAGGTCTTACGGGGTTGGTACAGCATGGGGGTGAGTAATTAAAACCACTTAACTGTCACCGTCCCACAGGTGGGACGTTTGCCACTATATTTTTATAACAATAATATCTTAGTAAATACCTTAAATAATATTGACAAACTATATATCATTTGAAAGCTTACAATCTCTAGTTTCCATATTTGGTGACTGATTTTCAAAATATATTACAGAGGAGCCATAATTTATCAATATAAAACAAGAATATTTTCATACTCATAAGGCTTGTTCAGACCTTTATTTTAAAATAGCAGTAAACATGAAAAATCATGAAAAAATGGTAGATACCTCAGTTTGTTTTCATGCCAAAAGTTCAAAAGATAGAATCCATTCAATTATTTTGGAAAAAAAAAGGTCTGAAAAGTTTGAAATATCAAGAAAAAAATAATAAACTCACCATTTGTGACGTGGCAGCTAGCTATGACTTACATGCGTGTTCTTTGTATGTGTTTCTTAGAGGTTCAATTCATATCAAAATCTGCCAAACTTCCCATGCTACTCCTGAATAGGATCTCTACTTCAGAAATTGTATGAAAATTGTGAAAATAATGGTTCATATCACTCAAAACACGAATGGAAATTCAGGCGCCCTTATATGGGCAGTAATGGAGTCTGATTGTGCCCTAGTGAAAAAGTTTGGTACTGCGCTCAAACTAAATCTTACTGAAAGCTCATTTTTTGAGATATCAACCTAAAATTTGAAACACAACTTGTTCAGATTTTTGGCTTTGATTTTTCTGCCATTTTAGAGTAGCCCAGGTTTTGAAAATATATATTTTATGTAAAATATGAATAATTAATATTTTTGCATTGTACATTTCCATAAACTCAAACCTCTATAACTTTTTTTCTCTTTCACTTTCTTAATTTATTTCACTTCTACAAAAATCTGCCAAATGTCTTCTTTAAAACAAGACCAATCATATGTCTATATTCCAAAGCATTCTTGAATTACAACCATTTAAGTTCGAAATGTGCATTTTCATGTCTATTCAAAAAAGGGGGGGTGACAGTTAACAGGTTAATGACTTAATTTTCATTTTTGGGTGAACTAACCCTTTAAAGAATAACAGAGTTCACACCACAACTATAACGATAAAGACGATATCATTGGGATCACTTTCAGAACGTTTTTTTTCCAGCTGTCCAACGATAAAACACTGACAACCAATTAGAATCCATTCTAATTTAAAGGTCTCGCGCATTTAAAATGGCAGATGACATTCCAGAGAAGTTGAGGTACGAAAAAATCCTCCACTGTTTGACAAGTCAAACCCCCTTTTCGAGGATACCTTAAAAAAAGATGGATATATGGAAAGCAATCGGTCGTATCCTGGGAATAAACGGTGAGAAGTACAGTATTCACGATCAGTGTTGGGTGTAACTAATTACTTAGTAATACTTAGTTGGCTGTAATTTAACTACTTTTCCCTTGAAAATGTAAAGTAAGGGATTACTCTTCATTTATCTGCAATTTAATTACAGTTACTTCTGATGTAATTGAGGTAAATACTGTGTATAGATCAATCTGATCTCACAGCGATTCGTATGCATTTGAGGAATCTAAATATTACGACCGCACTCGTACAAATTAGTAAGAATTTTTGTAAAATATGTATGAAAAAAGTGTGAAATGTCATGAGATCAGACATAAAACAATAGTGGGTTTAACATCAAAATATATTGTCTGATGTTAAAAAGTATGTTTTTATAATGTAACCTTCTCCACCTTGGTCAGATAAAGGATAATTCATGCAATTTTATAGTATTTATTTGAAGGAATTAAAACAGATTCATGTCTATCCTTGTATTATTCAGCTGGTTGAGATTGATATGGGATTTTGAAAGTAATTAGTAATTAAAAGTAATTAAATACTTTTTAGAGATAGTAATTAGTACAGTAATCTAATTACACTGCTAAAGAGGTAATTAGTAACTAGTAATTAATTACTTTTTTAGAGTAACTTACCCAACACTGTTCACGATGGGATATTATGCCGTAGCATAGTGTAACAAAATTACCTCAGGTTGGCTATCCTGCGCTAGTTGACGACATTGCTGAAGTTGCAGTAAAAAAATGCGTTGTATACATAATTAAAGGTGTTGAGTAGGTGATGTTTTTATCCCATCATTGACTTCGTCAGCTAAATTCACTGTTAGACTTGCTAGATTCACCGTTTAGAGTCGCTCCCAACTCCTCTCGTCTTGTCTTGTACCCAAAAGCGCCTGTTTTTCTTTTGATATTTGTTTGTAACGTAAAGCAGCAGCCGCAGGTCATCCGTTTTCGCTACTTTAAAAAACGCAGCTTAGAATAGAAAGACCGTTATCGGTCATTGGTGTGGATGCATATGAAGAGTTCAGCTGCAAAAGCCTCTAAGTGCCATTTGAAATTTTCTTCTAAAATGATCATTTTTATCAAGCTTATATATTTAACTTCAGTAATTTCACTTAAATGACAATGAAGATTACCTATGAATTGCCATTTAAGTGAAATTAGTGAAGTTAAATATACAAGCTTGATAAAAATGATCACTCTAGAAGAAAATTTCAAATGGCACTTAGAGGCTTTTGCATCTGAACTCTTCATATATAGTTATCTTCTATCTATATGTGCTTGGTGTGAACGGGCCTTAAAGGGTTAGTTCACCCAAAAATGAGAATTCTGTCAGTATTTACTCACCCTCATGTTGTTCCAACCCCGTAAGACCTTCGTTCATCTTCGGAACACAAATTAAGATATTTAAGATATTAAGATCGCTCCTGCATACTAGTCCATAGGCTTCTTGAGGGAATGACTCTTGCGGTCCCCGAAAAGTCATTAAAGACATCGTTAAAATAGTCCAAGTGACTACAGGGGCTCAATCTTAAGTTTATCAAACGACGAGAACACTTCTGTGCGCAAAAAAACAACAAAAATAACGACTTTATTTCAACTATTCACTTCCTTCTCCATGAGCCTGTAAGTCAGTTAACGTAGTGTGATTGCGTAGAGCTACGTCACACGTAGGCTCACTATTGGCCGACGCTGGTCATGTGTGTGTGATGCGTGTGACGTACAATAACAGAAGCTTACGCTATTAAACTAGTAACCTGACTCGCGCAGAGGGAGAATTAAACGAATAGTTGAAATAAAGTCGTTATTTTTTTCGTTTTTTTGCGCACAAAAGTGTTCTCGTCGTTTGATAAACTTAAGATTGAGCCCCTGTAGTCACTTGGACTATTTTAACGATGTCTTTAATGACTTTTCGGGGACCGCAAGAGTCATTCCCTCAAGAAGCCTATGGACTAGTATGCAGGAGCGATCTTAATATCTTAAATATCTTAATTTGTGTTCCGAAGATGAACGAAGGTCTTACGGGGTTGGAACAACATGAGGGTGAGTAAATACTGACAGAATTTTCATTTTTGGGTGAACTAACCCTTTAAGACAGAAGAGGCGCCATTTCAGCTGGTCCAACCTAAGGGTTGGCGTGGCCAATGTAGCGGACGCCAGCTAGTAAGAGATGTGCAGGTAAACCTCACTCCCCTGATCTCAAGAGGCGCT